TATGGCGAACTTTTAGCAAATAATCTGAAATTTTATAAAAAAAATTTAAATAAATTAAAAAATTGGTTTCTACACTCTAAAAAAAATATATTTAAAAATTAAAAGTCATTTTCCCAAAAATGGTACCCCTCAGATTTGCTTGATATTTTTTCTCATGAAAGGCAATATAATTACCTAACTTTTCTTCATACATCGCAAAGTGGGCGCTTTTAAGGAAAAAAAGTTGTTCGAACAACAACTTTTTCATGTTAATTTTTTTTTAGCGTGTTTCACTCAAAGTCGAATAGTAATACGCGCACAACCTTATTAAAATCCGTTGAAACTTAATGAGCATAAAGATTTTGACCTTTTGATAATCTGGGCGTGCTTAAAACAAAAATCTAGCCTAACATTTGAAAGGGCCTAATACAGAGGATTTTCCTGCATTTCGAATGGTGTTTTAATAAATGAAAACTCTAGTGTTTTTGTTTAGTGCATAATTTATTTTCCTATAATTCTCCATACATAATTTGAGTTTTTCATTGATTATTAGTCTATCGGAAACAGAGTGAAATTTTTCGGAGTTTCCTTTGAATGTGAAAATCGCTTAGTAGAAATTATGTTTTGAGAAATAGGTACAAAACAATGAAATTTTTGTGTACCAGGTATAGTTTTTACATGACTGAACAGCTCCTTGAGTTCATCGGACATCTTTGTGTATTGATCATTTGATATGAAGCAGAAGTTCAATTTTGTTATGCTTGTATCTGTTTGTTTAACTGCCCAGTCATACAGTTCTTGTGGAGTTGTGATTGTGTTTCCATAATCTCGAGCAAGACTTGCTCTCTTTGCCATTCGTTTGAGAGTTCCTCCAATTGCGTCACATGGGCCTTTCCCATGAGACGTTGCGAAGAAGTGCCATTCTGCTTCCAATCCATACTTGGACTTGAAGTTGCACAAACTGGCAAAATTCTTTTTATTTTTGTAATGAGCCGCTGCTCCATCTGACATGAAAGTAATTTTTGTGAAACTAATAGATTGTTTAATGAAATCTAACAATTTTGATATAAATAATTGAACTGCTATTGTATCATGGGTCAATACTTCTGAAATAATAATAAAGCTTAAATTTTCCAACTTGTTTTCTTTTATGTAGTAAATTTCGAAAGGATGTATCGTAGCTTGATTATTGTTCCAATGATACCCCTGTGCTGAGTTTTGAATAATAAATGAAGAATTTTCAGAAAAGTCGCAAATCACTAAAATTTCACCGTTTTGAAGAGAATTTTTTTTTATTACTTAGGTAAGATGATTGCTCTTTATGAATAAAATCATGGGTTATGAGCTTTTCAACTTTTTCCGTCAAATATTGAACAAACTCATCTGCAGGTTTAATAATAGTTTCCAAATTACAACGGTCGGTAGTCAACCACTGTTGAAATAAAACTTCTTCCATATCATCTGCTTCTAATACTGATGTAAGTTCCCTCACGATACTATCTGTGGAAATGCATTCTTCACATGTACGATAAAAACAATCTATGGTTCTAATAGGACTACTGCAAAGTATTTTGTCTGCAATTTCTTTATATGAATCAAATTTTACACTATTAATAATCAATTTAACATTTTCATGTATAGTACAGACACATACATTATGTGTACCTGTACTATCCAACAGTATGCAATGCTTTGGTCGGAGCTGAGTGAACGAAGTAAATCCGATTTTAACACTTTTGTATTTCTCTTCAAAAATCATAAAAGCCTCTTTAAGAGACATCATCAATAAACGTTTCTGAACATGCTCTTTATATCCATTTCGATATTCAGAAACATAATCATTACTTCCTGGCATAGGCCTACTAATATCATCACTGTCAAAGAAATTTAAAACAATTTGTTTTTCAGTATCATTAAATCCATGACCACTTCTTGCTTTCTTACTACAAAGAATACCTTGTTCTCTGACTAGCCTTTTCATCTGTTTCACTGTATGATGGGGTGCATTAAACTCATTAACTATTTGATTCACTGACCATGATTTAGGGAGCACTGATAACACTTTTAATTTGTCATTTGTACTCGTAGAAGGCAAATTAAATTTCTCCTTTAACTGCATGATCATTTCGTCAAAATCATTTGATTTGTTGACATCGTCTGAATCCATCCCAAATATATTTTTACGCACTGCCTTTGTGATCTCTGCAGATTTTTGAACACGATAATTCATACTTCTCATACTTCTCGATGAAATTGGTGATAACTGTAAGGTTGAAGCTATACAATTGAATTGTTCCACATTATATGGACCTTAGATCTGATCCGCTGATGGGATTGATTCTAGCGATGGATCTGTATCTGTAAAATTAAAGAAAAGAAAAAAAAATATTACCACACATTAATATATAACGCTGTTAAGGTGATAGTACCATGAACGGGGGTGGTTTTGATAATAGGGGTAACTTTGGTAATGCAGCTAAGCCAAAAATTTATGACTTAAGGCACATCGTACGCAATATTTTGGATAGGAAACCGATGTTCCCTTCCAAAATAATGAATACGAAGAGCATTAAGTCATAACTTTTTGGATTAGCTGCATTATCAAAGTTACCTCCATTATCAAAGACATCCCCGTTTACGGTACATCGAAGCCGCATCTGAATTTTCCCCATGTTTAAGCGGTTCATCCAGCTCGTGCTCTAAAAAAATGTTGAAAATGAAGTTGTATCTTCGATGTACAATCCTTAAACCACACAGTTGAAACAGTTAAAGTTATTATTATTTACCTAGTGTATCATCAAATTCCTGATGTTCTGATTGCTGATGACTTGTTGATGGTTGCGGCTCTTCAAACTTCCGAGCATGGCTTGATTCTTTTCCATCCGATCGCCTCTTTTTCGGGAGAGGTGTCCTATTGTGCACTAAAATTCCACGACACGATTCACAAATACGCATTGTTACATCCAATTGATGATCAAAGCCCCATGAATGTATTTTCTCTATGAGACTTGATGATAAATTACGTAAATTATTGCGGCTGCAATTGGGATTGTTTATGTTGGCACTACATTGCACCCTTTTAATAATCAATTCAGCAGATTTTTCCATTGTTGTATATATAAACACTTTTTCGTTTCAATAACTATGCAGCACTACACTTTCAACAACTACAGCAACTATGAGCATTGTTGTGATATCACCAAACTTAAATATTAGATTATGTCGGTAGAAACAGACTGCGGTGCTTTAAGTTTATACCTTATATCTCTCATGTAACTACCTGCGTTGTTATATAACTGCTATATAGCAGGTAACTTAACGATTATTTTAGGCATGCCTTAAATAATCGTTAAGTTACCTGCGCTATTATATGTATTCACTTGAGAGATGAGGTATAAACATATATGCATATTGCTTACTAATGGACACACCTAATACATAAAAATAAATGAATGATTATTTTTCTAATTAAATTAATCACAAATACATGAATTGAAATCTTTTCATGAATAAAACATACTAAGTGATTTTTACTTAGTTTACCTGTTGATTTGGAACAATTTGAGGGTGGTTTTATAGAAGTTGGATAGAGTGTATGCATATATTATAATACAATCCATCACAGGAAAGTGCAAACCATGCTGAGATGGCTGTTCCTCATTAGAACGTTTTGTTCTGAACTCTTATTGGACGATTTGCAGGTAACTTCTCTGTACCCTTTTCAAATGTTAGGCTAGATTTCGCCCAGATTATCGAAAAGTATACCCATAAAGTTTAATCGAATTTTAATAAGGTTGTGCGCGTATTACTATTCGACTTTGAGTGAAACACGCTAAAAAAAAATTAACATGAAAAAGTTGTTGTTCGAACAACTTTTTTTCCTTAAAAGCGCCCACTTTGCGATGTATGAAGAAAAGTTAGGTAATTATATTGCCTTTCATGAGAAAAAATATCAAGCAAATCTGAGAGGTACCATTTTTGGGAAAATGACTTTTAATTTTTAAATATATTTTTTTAGAGTGTAGAAACCGATTTTTTATTTTATTTAAATTTTTTTATAAAATTTCAGATTATTTGCTAAAAGTTCGCCATACATCACTTTTTTGTAGGACTTGTCATTTTTAAGCTATATCGATTTGAAAAAAAAACGACAAAAAACTTTGACCCTTATCAAATGTTAGGCGAGATAAATTTTGAAAAAAATAAGTACGCAAAATTGCTTAAAATTGCTAAGTCTCCACACCCACAAAGTTCCATAAGGTTCTGAGAGGGTGCTGCCAACCACTGGATGAGTTGGCGTGAAATCCACAGCAGTGATCACTACCAGCCCTGAAGAAAGCGTTGCATTTTTTTTTTTTTTGAGTACAATCTTTAATTTAACATTTTGGTGGTAAACACATATGCAAACAGTATGTGTGCCACTCGTTCCTACCAGAATGCAATACTTATAGCGGCTACTTGCATCCATTGAAAAACATATTTTATTTGCGGGAAATTGATGTTTTAAAACGGCGCAAGCCTCTTGCAAATTACGCAATACTTATCTTCGTTGTATATAAACCTAATCATCAAATTTTTTTTAAATAACATAGTCCGGTTTTCCTGGACAGGCTCGGCTTATTTCGTCACTGGTATAAAAATCACGTCATTTTGATGCTGGACTTTGCTCGGGCACTCTGCTTATGTCTTTCAGATCAAATGATTGGCTAAAATAAATGGAAAACATTTGAAACCTAATATTCTAGGCGCAAACAATTTATTCCTCCTAAATATTGCTTTTGGACCACTGTGCACTGGAGCTCAGTTGATTTGCTGGAAATTAGAGTGGAAAATTTCGGTAATTGTTTGGCTATTTTGCGCGGAAACGTTTATAAACTCCTTTATCAGCATCAATAATGGAAGACTACTGAAGAAAGTTTTAAAAATAAGACCTCGTATTTCCAGAGCAAAACTAATCTATTTTACTAATCGTTTATCACAATTTCTTTTTCTCCCCAAACTCGCACACAAAACCAAAACAGCTACGACGAGGGTTCCATCATCATCAAGGTCGGCCGCGAGGAACCGGCCATGTCGATGGACGTCAACGGTGGCAAAATCGTGTGGGCCCGGCACTCGGAGATGCAACAGGTCAACCTAAAAGCCCTGCCCGAGGGTAAGTACCTGGAACCCATGGCCCTTCCTCTCCGATTGCAATTGGAACAAAGGAAACATTCACCTCCTTGAAAAGGGGGATGAGGCGAGGACATTTGACAAAGTTTCATTTATTTGTTTTATCCAGGGAAACTAAGAGGGAAACGTTGGAAAATTCCCATGACATCATGGGATAACGACGGAAGACATCCCAACAGAGGAAACTGCTCACTGATGTATGCTCTTATGATAATTAAAAACAAAAAGTACAGCATTTCATTTGAAACGACGATGCACTGCAACCGGAACAGAACGGCTCTGTTCCGGATTGCGTCTCTCGTTTGTGACATTTCCGTTTCAATGGAATGTCACTGGAGGTTACACCGCGCGGGAAAGCAATACTGTTTATTGTCCCCTCAGCCTGAACGTGTCATTAGCGAGATTAATAAGAAAAGCTTCACCCCTCAAAGCGCGCCCGGGATGAAGAGCGATATTCTGAAATCCTTCCGGTGATTTCGGACTCATTAGCATATTTCCCATCAAGCAACAAAACAAAATCAACTTTCGAAGCGACAGGTATCACCTTCGAAACGAAACCTCAATCAAGTTTAAAAGAGAATAATAATAACAATCAACAACAACGAAATTCAACTTCATTTCTCGAGTTACTTTTTTTTTCTGAGTACCGCACAGTGGGACCATTCTGGAAAAAAGACGGTCAAAACCCTTTTCTCGTTTTCTCGATGTTTAAGCGCGTGTCTTGGAAGAAGTTTCTTAAAATGCTATTTTGCATCTTCTGAAATTTCCATATAAATTTTAATTAAGAATAAGACTTAGATACGCTAACAAAGAATAGGAATATGTTTATGTCTTCGGCCAAGTTGTAGAACTATGAATTTCATGAAATTTTACTGAAGACACTAAGAGAAATTTAAATTGCAAAATTGTTGAAATTTTGTTTTGAAATCACTTAACAAAGCAAATGAAGCGATTTACGATATTGATGATATTGAAAACTTTGAAGAACATTTCGAATCGATTACTTAAGATTTATGATGCAAAAAGTAAAAAAAAATTACTTGATTTTAAGGTAGTCTTGATAAAAATTCATTTATATCTCGCTAGACTTATGATGTACAAACTTAGTGTCTTCAGCAAAGTTGTTTCGTGAAATTCATAGTTCTACAACTTTGCCGAATACAGTAACCTATTATCTTGTGATTACAAAAAGTTAGTTTTTCTAAGTGTAACACCACCTTAATACAAATCTAAATGCATAATTCAAAGGATGTAGAATTACATTTCCATAAACTTATTTGAAGACACTTAAACGCTAAAACATCTGGAAAGGTAAGAAAAGGGTTTTGACCGTCTTTTTTCCAGAATTGTCCCACTGTGTACCGTGATCCTTCTTCCGCTACACCCCTACAATGGAGGAAGGAATACCAAGTCAATCTCGCTAAATATCGTTTGCTGTGCTCGGTGGTCATCGTGAGAAACTCTTACTTTTGTTCTCTTCAATTCAGAATTGAAACTGAAGACGAAAACAAACGCTGTTTGCATTCGATTCTGGAGATTCTCCCTTTCAAATTCAGTTGCGGGTTGGGGTCTTACGACCGTGGTCTATTGAAATTTTAACCCTTCGTATTTTCTCGGGCAGCCAACTAACGATCTGCTTAATGTACGAAACTGAAAATGCAACTCAGACTCAGACTTCTGAATGGGGAGATTTGTGCCCCTGAAAACGCCAAATGGTGGAGCAAATAGAGCTTCGCATAGCCTTTTCCTTAATAACGCATCTCGAAGTTAAGCTATCAGTGGAATCAGTCATTTTGTTCAATCGAGAGCTGTTTTTGGAGGGGTTTGGTACACCGTAAATGAATACAGATGACTTTTATTATTTATTTATTTACTCAGAATCGTAAAGAATTTTCTTAGTGCATAATCTTCCTGAAATTTTCCCCGGAATATCTTAACCTCAAAATTCTCTTGAAGTTCTCCTCGGAATTTTCATGGGATCATCCTCAGAATTCCATTTGAATTTTCCTGTAAGTTATGGGATCTTGAAATTTTAGAAAATCCGACTCAATAAATATTTTTCACAGTCCAAGAACTTCAAAAGCTTTCTTTATCTAAAATCCTAAAATTCTCTAGAAGTCATGAAAGTTTTCAGAGCCCTGTGTTCATGTGGATTTTGACCAAAAAAACAGGTCTCCCCAAAAGTCCCGAAAACTTGCTCCCAAAGTCCCGAGGGCTTCTCCCAGAAGTCCCGTGGGCTTCTCCCAGAAGTCCCGTGGGCTTCTCCCAGAAGTCCCGTGGGCTTCTCCCAGAAGTCCCGTGGGCTTCTCCCAGAAGTCCCGTGGGCTTCTCCCAGAAGTCCCGTGGGCTTCTCCCAGAAGTCCCGTGGGCTTCTCCCAGAAGTCCCGTGGGCTTCTCCCAGAAGTCCCGTGGGCTTCTCCCAGAAGTTCCATGGGCTTCTCCCAGAAGTCCCGTGGGCTTCTCCCAGAAGTCCCGTGGGCTTCTCCCAGAAGTCCCGTGGGCTTCTCCCAGAAGTCCCGTGGGCTTCTCCCAGAAGTTCCGTGGGCTTCTCCCAGAAGTCCCGTGGGCTTCTCCCAGAAGTCCCGTGGGCTTCTCCCAGAAGTCCCGTGGGCTTCTCCCAGAAGTCCCGTGGGCTTCTCCCAGAAGTCCCGTGGGCTTCTCCCAGAAGTCCCGTGGGCTTCTCCCAGAAGTCCCGTGGGCTTCTCCCAGAAGTCCCGTGGGCTTCTCCCAGAAGTCCCGTGGGCTTCTCCCAGAAGTCCCGTGGGCTTCTCCCAGAAGTCCCGTGGGCTTCTCCCAGAAGTCCCGTGGGCTTCTCCCAGAAGTCCCGTGGGCTTCTCCCAGAAGTCCCGTGGGCTTCTCCCAGAAGTCCCGTGGGCTTCTCCCAGAAGTCCCGTGGGCTTCTCCCAGAAGTCCCGTGGGCTTCTCCCAGAAGTCCCGTGGGCTTCTCCCAGAAGTCCCGTGGGCTTCTCCCAGAAGTCCCGTGGGCTTCTCCCAGAAGTCCCGTGGGCTTCTCCCAGAAGTCCCGTGGGCTTCTCCCAGAAGTCCCGTGGGCTTCTCCCAGAAGTCCCGTGGGCTTCTCCCAGAAGTCCCGTGGGCTTCTCCCAGAAGTCCCGTGGGCTTCTCCCAGAAGTCCCGTGGGCTTCTCCCAGAAGTCCCGTGGGCTTCTCCCAGAAGTCCCGTGGGCTTCTCCCAGAAGTCCCGTGGGCTTCTCCCAGAAGTCCCGTGGGCTTCTCCCAGAAGTCCCGTGGGCTTCTCCCAGAAGTCCCGTGGGCTTCTCCCAGAAGTCCCGTGGGCTTCTCCCAGAAGTCCCGTGGGCTTCTCCCAGAAGTCCCGTGGGCTTCTCCCAGAAGTCCCGTGGGCTTCTCCCAGAAGTCCCGTGGGCTTCTCACAGAAGTCCTGTGGGCTTCGGGCAGAAGTCCCGTGGGCTTCTCTCATAAGTCCCGTGGGCTTCTCTCATAAGTCCCGTGGGCTTCTCGCAGAAGTCCTGTGGGCTTCTCGCAGAAGTTCCGTGGGCTTCTCCCAGAAGTCCCGTGGGCTTCTCCCAGAAGTCCCGTGTTCTAAGTTCTAAGCCTAGGATATAGCGCCATTACTCGCTTTTCCTCTCACGGTTCGGACATGAGTATGCAATGCTCAAACGACCCATGAGCTAACTGTTGTCCATTCCATGATGCACAAAGCAAGAAACCCTGGGGATTTCTTCCAGAAGTCCTGCAGACTTTCTCCAAAAGTGCTGTATAGATACATCAATTTCCCCACAATACCTTTGAATTTCATGCAGAGCCTTGGATATATCTTAGAAACCTAGTCAGACCCCGAAAGCTCTGTAAACCTTCCCAGAAGTCCTGTGGAATTCAACCCAAAAGTTCTGTAGATGCCGGCTTTCCTAGCAGTTCGGTGTACCTAGCCATATTAATGCTATGAACTTATCACTGAAGTTCTGTGAACTTGCCCCAGACGTCCTGCAAATAGTGTTTCCATTTCCCGGCCTTTAGTTGGTACCCGGGAATGGGAAATCTGATTCTGGCTTTTTTCTGGGAATTCCCGGGAATCCTATTGACTTCCCCTAGAAGTCCTACCGACTGCCCCTAGAAGTCCTACCGATTTAGAAGTGTTATGGACTTCCTTTAAAAGCCCGGTAGGATTCCTCCCTGGGGCGGCCTCTCTCAGCTCAGTCAGTAAAGGCGCAGCTACAAAGCAAGACCATGCTGGAAGTGGTTGGGTTCGATTCCCGGTTCGGTCTAGAATTTTTTCGGCTTGGAAAATTTCTCGACTTCCCTGGGCATAGAGTTGATTGGACTTGTCACACAATTATACTAATGCAAAAATGGTACAGGCACCGAAAGCTCTCAATTAATAACTGTGGAAGTGCATCTAGAACACTAAGTTGAGAGAACGCAATAAGCTAATCTGCGATAAGCAATAAGCTTGAAAGAATAAGAAGAAAGCTCCTCCCGAAGTGGTGTAGACTTCATCCCGAACCACAGTGGACTTTCTCCTGAAGTCCTAATGACCTGCTATCGAAGAGGTTTGTCCTTCTTCACTGTCGAAATCCTATGAACTTCTTACAAATGCTATATAGACTTTCTCCTGACCTGCTTGCGAACTTCTTCCAGATCTTCCTGTGGTCTTTCTTTAGACCTCCTGTGAACCTCCTCCAGATCTTCCTGTGGACTTTTCCAGATTTTCCTAAGGATCAGATCATCCTAAAGACTTCATCCGGGTCTTCCTTTGAATATCCTCCAGTTCTTCATGTTGACTTGACTTTGATCTTTGACTAGATTTTCCTACGGACTCCTTCCAGATCTTAAGGTAGACTATTACCAAATCGTTATGTAGACTACCTCCAAATATTCCTTTCAGATCTGCATGTTAACTTTTTCCAGATCTGCATGTGAAATGCTTCCAGATCTGGATTTCTTCCAGTTGTAAAGGCCGAAAGCCCCAGAACTTCTTGGAATCACGAGGAGTTTTCGAAATTTCTAGACCCCCGTATGTTTTAGAAGGTTCAAGAGCTCTGACCGAAATATAACTCGCGGAGCTCCCAATCCATATCTATTGGAACTCTAGAACGTTCAAACTTCAGCACAAAGCGACTTCTTCCAGATCTGCATGTGGACTGCTTCCAGATCTAGATTTCTTCCAAATCTTTATGTAAAATATGTACTTCTTCCAATTCTTTCCTGTGGACTTCCTTTAGATCTACCTGTGGATTTCTTCCATATCTTTCTGTGGATTTCGTCCAGATTTTCCTTTGGACTTCTTCCAGATCTTTCTGTCGACTTCTTTCAGATCTTCATGTGGACTTCTTGCAGATGTTCTTGTAAACTTCCTCCAGATCTTCCTGTGGATTTCTTCCAAATATTTCTGTTGATATCGTCCAGATCTTGCTGTGGACTTCCTCCAGATCTCTGGACTTTTTTGTCCAGATATTCATCATGACATCCTCCAGATCTTCATGTGGATTTCCTCCAGATCTTTCTGTGGACTTGCTCAAGTTGTTCCTGTGGACTTTCTCCATATATTTCTGTGAACTTCCTCCAGATTTTCCTGTGAACTTCTTTCAGATCTTCCTGTGGACTTCTTCTAGATATTTCTGTGGACTTCCTCCAGATCTTCCTGTGGACTTCCTCCAGATTTGCCTGTGCACATTCTCCAGATCTTTTTGTGGAATTCTTCCAGATCTTTCTGTGGACTTCTTCCTGATCTGCATGTTGACTTCCTCCAGATTTTTCTGTGAACCAGATCTCTGAACTTTTTCTAGATATTCATCATGACTTCCTCCATATCTTCATGTGGATTTCCTCCAGATCTTTCTGTGGATTTGCTCAAGATGTTCCTGTGAACTTTCTCCATATCTTTCTGAGGACTTCTTCCTGATCTTCATGTGGACTTCCTACAGATTTTTCTGTGGACTTCTTGCAGAACTTCCGGTGGACTTCCTCCAGATTTTTCTTTGTACTTCTTCCAGAACTTCCGGTGGACTCCCTCAATATTTTCCTGTGGACATCCTCCAGATCTTTCTGTGGACTTCTTTCAGATCTTTCTGCGGACTTCCTCCAGATCTTCATGAGGATTTCCTCCAGATTTTCCTGTGGACTACCTTTAGATCTTTCTATAGACTTCTTCCAGATCTTCCTGTGGGTTTCTTTCAGATCTTACTGTAGATGTCATTCAGATCTTGTGGACTGCTTTGAGATCTTTCTGTGGACTTGCTCTAGATTTTTTGTTAACTTCTTCCAGATCTTCCTGTAGGCTGTCTTCAAATCGATCTGTAGACTACCTCCATATCTTCCTATGGCTTTACAGATCTTCATGTGGACTTCTTCCAGATCTTCCTGTAGACTTCTTCCAGATATTCATGATGACTTCCTCCAGATCTTCATGTGGATTTCCTTCAGATCTTTCTGAGAACTAGGTCAAGATATTCCTGTGGACTTTTTCAGATCTTCCTGTGTACTTCATTCAGATCTTCCTGTGGACTTCCTTCAGATATTTCTGTGGAAGTCCTTCAGATCTTCATGTGGACTTCGTTCAGATCTGCTTTTGGCCTTCCTCCAGATCTTTCTATAGACTTCTTCCAGATATACTGTGGATTTTCTCCAGATCTTATTGTGGACATCTTTCAGATCTTTCTGTGGACAGCTTTGAGATGTTTCTGTTGACTTTATCTAGATTTTTGTTAACATCCTCCAGATCTTTTTGTTGATTTCCTCCAGATCTTTCTTTGGGCTGTCTTCAAATCGACCTATAGACTACCTCCATATCTTGCTATGGCTTTACAGATCTTCCTGTGGAGTTCTACCAGATCATCATGTAGTCTTCTTCCAGATATTCATCATGACTTCTTCCAGATCTTCATGTGAATTTCCTCCAGATCTTTCTGTGGACTTGCTCAAGATATTCCTGTGCACTTTTTTCAGATCTTCCTGTGTACTTCATTCAGATCTTCTTGTGGACTTCGTTCAGATATTTCTGTGGACGTCCTTCAAATCTTCATGTGGGCTTCGTCCAGATCTTCTTGTGAAACTTCGTTCAGATCTGCTTTTGGCCTTCCTCCATATCTTTCTTCTTCCTGTGGATTTTCTCCAGATCTTACTGTGGACTTTATGTAGATTTGTGCTAACATCCTCCAGATTTTCTGTTGATTTCCTCCAGATCTTTCTTTGGGCTGTCTTCAAATCGACCTGTAGACTACCTCCATATCTTCCCATGGTCTTTCAGATCTTCCCGCGGACTTCTTCCTGATCATCATGTGGACTTCTTCCAGATTTTCATCATGACATCCTCCAGATCTTCTTGTGGACTTCTTCCAGATCTTTCTGTGGACTTCCCTCAGATCTTCCTGTGGATTTCATTCAGATCTTCTTGTGGACTTCCTTCAGATCTTCTTGTGAATTTTGTCCAGATCTTCTTGTGGACTTCCTCCAGATCTTCCTATAGACTTCTTTCAGATCTTCCTGTGAACTTCATTCAGATCTTTCTGTGGACTTTATCTAGATTTTTTGTTAACTTCCTCCAGACTCCAACTTTCTGTTGATTTCATCCAGATCTTCCGTGGGGCTGTCTTTAAATCGACCTGTAGACTACCTCCATATATTCCCATAGTCTTTCAGATCTTCCCGCGGACTTCTTCCTGATCATCATGTGGACTTCTTCCAGATTTTCATCATGACATACTCCAGATCTTTCTGTGGACTTGGAAAACATATTTCTGTGGACTTTCTCCATATCTTTCTGTGATGTTCTTCCAGATCTTCCTGTGGACTTCCTTTCAGATGTTCCTGTACACTTCATTCCGATCTTCCAGTGACTGCTTCCAGATCTTTCTGTGGACTTCCTCCAGATCTTCCTGTGGACTTCTCTCATATCTTCCTATCTACTTCATTCAGATCTTCCTGTAGATGTGGATGTCCTTCAGATCTTCATGTGGACTTCGTCCAAATCTTCTTGAGAACTTCCTCCAGATCTTTCTATAGACCTCTTTCAGATCTTCCTGTGGTTTTCCTTCAGATCTTACTGTGGTTTTCTTTCAGATCTTTCTGTGGACTTTCTCCAGATTTTTCGTTAACTTCCTCAAGATCTTTCTGTTGATTTCCTCCAGATCTTCCCAAGGGCTGTCTTCAAATCTACCTGTAGACTACCTCCATATCTTCCTATGATCTTCTAAATCTTCCCGTGGACTTCTTCCAGATCATCCTGTGAACTTCTTCCAGATATTCAACATGACTTCCTCCGGATGTTCATGTGGATTTACTCCAGATCTTTCTGTAAACTTGCTCATGATATTCCTGTGGACTTTCTCCATATCTTTCTGTGATCTTCCTCCAGATCTTCCAGCGGACGACTTTCAGATGTTTCTGTGTACTTCATTAAGATCTTCCTGTGGACTTCCTTCAGATATTTCTGTGGACGTCCTTTAGATCTTCTTGTAGACTTCGTCTAGATTTTCTTATGGACTTCTTTCATATCTTCCTGTGGAATTCATTCTGATCCTTCTGTGGAATTCCTCCAAATCTTTCTGTCGACTTCTTTCATATCTTCCTGTAGACTTGCAGAACCTTTATGAGCTTCCTTTATGGGGAATTATTCCCTTCGGATGTTCCTAGAAGATGTTTCGTGAACCGCCCTTTGCAAGTTCCTTGAACTTCTTTCTCTTTGCAAGATCCTAAATGTTCCCTTTGGAAGTTGGAACCTCTCATTGGAAGTTCTTTGAGCTTGTTGAGGTTGGAAATTCCTTGAGAAATAAGACATTCTTCCCAAAAAGAAGGTAGACCTGTGGAAGCACTGTAGGAAAAGCCTAACCTCACATATTGAGGCAGGTGCAAATTGAGAGTTAAGGTAAAGATACAATAACGGACATTGATCTCCAGAAAGCGGAACCATCAGCAGAAGCCTCTATGGTTAAATAATACTGGCTTACCTATACACCATCGGAGGACTCGACCAGATTAGAATCGTTGTTTTCTCCCATTTGCTCCACGCTTTGTTTTGATCCATCCATATACTGCTACCTATTATAGACGAGAGAAACAAAGTCACCGAATGATGGCACACAGCCAACGCGCCCCCTACTTAATATAATGAGATGGGTATCTCTCAGTCCAACCGCGGTAATGACCGCGCGCTCGTGCCTTACCGGGAGAATTTCCGAAGCGTGTCCAAGTTGATACTCTTGCGCAGGGAAGGTTACTTCTTTACTGCCTATATGGAGAACAGGAAATGTGGAGACAGTTTTATTTATTGACGAAAGAGAGTGAGTTGTTTCGCCGTTAGTTTGGTTGGTAGCGAAGATATTATGTGACGAAAAGTGATTTTTAACAAATTTATGACCGTCTTCATAGTTCGCTTCTTAAAGCTTTCAAAGTGGGAAAAACAACGAGTCCAATGTCCTCTGCTAGGGTAACTGCACCCGCTTTAGACGCAGTGAACAATTTTTCTTATATTGACTCATTCTAACTCCAATCAATCTCGATTTCCTCACTTCCAGGCACAGAAATCAAAGACGGCGAACGGCTACCGGTGGCCGTCAAGGACATGGGAGCCTGTGAAATCTATCCCCAGACAATCGCTCACAACCCGAACGGACGGTAAGCATTGACCCACATCCTCTTCTCCAAGGGAAAATCTACTCAAGCACTCACATTTGTCCTTGCAGATTCGTAGTCGTCTGCGGTGACGGCGAGTACATCATCTACACCTCGATGGCCCTCCGCAACAAGGCCTTCGGCTCGGCCCAGGAGTTCGTGTGGGCGTCGGAAAACAGCGAGTACGCCGTACGGGAATCCAGCGGCACGGTGAAGCTGTTCCGCAACTTCAAGGAACGGAAAAGCTTCACCCCGGACTACGGCGCAGAAGGTAAGCTTCGTCTCTGATAGCAGAAGAAACTGGAAACGGTGCAAATTTGTAACTTACGCTCTCGATTCTCTGTTTGGTATTTTGTCTCCCTTGAAATCTTTCCATGCTTACCACCATCAACACCATCGCACCTTAACCAAACATTCAAAAACCATTACTAACTGCCCAACCAATGTCAATTGCACTGCCAACCAACCAACCAACCAACCAACCATGTGTAGAAGGTACTTGTCCAAGAGCTAATTGTTTGATCTCCAACATTGTTCTGTCCCAGGAGCCTGGTAATCAAAATACGAATTGTCATTTTTTTTGTTTAAAGGAATATTCGGCGGACAACTGCTGGCAGTCAAGACCTCCTCCGGTTTGTCGTTCTACGATTGGGAGAATCTCGAGCTCATCAGACGAATCGAAGTCCAACCAAGGTAAGAACTGTGCGATTGAAGTTGTTATAAGACCCTAATGATACGTCCCGACAGACACGTATTCTGGAACGAAGCCGGTACGTTGGTGTGCCTGGCCACGGAGGACTCGTACTTCATCCTGCAGGTCGACATCGGCATGATTCAGAATGCCCTGACCACGAAGCAGCAGCTCAGCGAAGATGGGATCGAGGAAGCGTTTGACGTGAGTCCTTCACTATATACAAACGTACGAACTTAGCCTAATTATTAACGAACTTCTGGCAGGTTCTGGGCGAAGTCAACGAAGCGGTTCGCACCGGACTGTGGGTCGGCGATTGCTTCATCTACACCAACTCGGTCAACCGGATCAACTACTACGTCGGCGGGGAGATTGTCACCATTTCCCACCTGGACCGGACGATGTACTTGCTCGGATACGTGCCGAAGGATAATCGGTGAGTTTGGGCTGCAGGGCGTAATATCGGGGTCTGGAAAGGGGTTTCGATATTCCGGGAGTAGGGCAGTGAATTTTTGGGGAAATTCTGGTCAGCTTGTAGGACAGGTTTCGCTTGACGAACAGTTATGAGCAACTTCCAGATTGGGTCAGTGCGATTGCTGTATGTCCAGAACAGGTATACAGGACTACAGGGGCCTTGTTTCGTTCCAGTCAACACGTCCAGATATTTAAAAAAGTTCCGTATCTCTGACAATTGTAATATCACATCCGAACTCCGAAAATGCTCGAAGCTGCCTGAATTGCATAAACTTAAAAAAAACTCACGGAATTCAAGGAATTTTCCGAATTTTTCGGAAGTCCCAAAGTGTTCAAAACTTCTATACACACGCAATTTGTTGTTTACTACTGAGACTCCAGACGCTCGCATGTCTCCGAAAACTGCAGTTTGTGGCAGCCGGTGAATTCCAGATTCGTTTCGTCATCCAGAAGCACTAGTACTCCCAGATTTTTGCAGACTTAAAACTCTTGGAATTCCAGGAGCTGGCGCAACTCCTATATCATCCTAAATCTTTAAGTTCGAGAGTTCTAGGAGTTCCTGAAAGTCCAGGAATTTCCCGACTCATCCAGATTTTGTTGAACTTCCGCAGAATTGGTGCCCCTGGAGTTTGCTGAGTTTCACAGTTTAGGGAGAGAGAGCTCAGAAATATAACTCACGAAATGTTCAAAACTTAAGACCAAAATCAAAACTTTTTGAATCCCCAGAATTTCTCAGTACCGGACACTCTTTTTTCTCCGGAAACTACGAGTTCTAGCTCGGAATTTCCGGAACTGTATGCAATTTGTGGTACTGTGAACAATTCAGATTATTTTCGACGTTGCGGAACTCCCGGAACTTTCTACTCCTCCAAAACCTTCGTAACTCCAGGAACGCCTCATATTTCAAGGTCGCTAGTTCGAGAAACTTCATGATTTTTTTGAGTTTCTAGAGCTCTGAATATGTCCGAAGAATTGTAATGTCCGATATACGATTTCCACAAACATTTGAATCTCTAGGAACTGAAATACCCAAAGATGCAAAGGCCGAAAGCCCCAGAAGTTCTTGGAATCACGAGGAGTTTTCGAAATTCCTAGACCCCCGCATGTTTTAGAAGGTTCAAGAGCTCTGACCGAGATATAACTCCCGGAGCTCCCAATCTATATCTATCGGAACTCTAGAACGTTCAAACTTCAGCGCAAAGCCGAAACTCTGTCATCCTCAGGATCACATTGTAGCTTTTCCCTGAAATCTATGATTCCCTGTTAATGCTAGCTCTAGGCCATAAAGCCAGATTCTGTTTGATGTCCTAGATCTCCGAAACTTTCCACGATCCGGAAACGCCAAGAATCCCAAAGTCCTTCGAGTCCCAGAGGTTTTCGAAGTTATAGGACAAATTAGAGTTTAGGGAGTTCTGGAAGTATCCGAAATACCGTAATATCCTTAAGAAACTCCCAAAACACTCCAGAACGTTTAAAAAATCTAGGCACATTCGTTTCTCTGAAAACTACTGTCGAAATCTCCAGGACCCTGAGAAATACCGATTTTTAGACGTTATGGAACTCCTGGAGATTTTCATACTGCATAAACATACGAAACTTCAGGACTGCTGGATGTACTGGAATACCCTAAATTTCGAAGTCGGAGAATCCCATCTTTTCCTGGCAGCCCCATCACGGGAATAGGAGACCTTGGGCCAACCACCTACTGTCTCCGGAAAATATAACCGCTCCAAAAATCAACAATGAAGAAAGTCCCAGCAGCTCCTGGCAGTTACAACTTACTTACCTTACCAATCAGGCTAAGGCCTTGATGTCCTCTGCTGTCCGAAGAAGTCGTCTCCACTCTTTTCGATCCATGGCCACACGTCGCCAGCCTCGTAGTCTGCAAAGGGTCCGCTGGTCGCCTTCTACTTGGTCGATCCACCTTGCCCGCTGCGTGCCTCTTCGTCTTGTTCCTGTTGGGTCGCTTCATAGAACCATTTTCACTGGGTCGTCGACCGGCATTCTTACGACGTGCCCAGCCCACCGTAGTCGCCCAATTGTTGCATTGTGGATGATGGATGGTTCTCTCAGCAGCTGGTGCAATTCGTGCTTCATTCCCCTTCTCCACGTTCCGTCATCCATCTGCACTCCACCGTAGATGGTACGCAACACCTTCCGTTCGAAAACACCAAGGGTGCGTTGGTTCTCAACGAGCACTGTCCAAGTCTCGTGGCCGAAGAGGACCACCGGTCTACTCAGTGGAGTCCAAAGTAGGCACAATTCCCTGCCATCATGCGTCTTTGAATTTCTCTGCTGGTATCATTTTCGGCGGTCACCAGTGAACCCAAATACACGAACTCGTCGACCACCTCGATTTCGTCACCGTCAATCTGAACTCGGGGTGGGAGGCTAACATTGTCTTCCCTGGAACCTCTTTCTCTAATGTATTTCGCAAGTCCAATCCGCCTAGCTTCAGCCTTCAGTCTGATGTACGTTTCGGCCATCGTCTCAAAGTTCCGTGCCTTGATGTCGAATGTCATCGGCGAAGCCAAGAAGCTGGATGGACTTCCTGAAGATGGTGCCACTCGTGTCTACCCCAGCTCTTATGATCACACCTTCTAACGCGATGTTGAATAGCAGACACGAAAGTCCATCACCTTGCCGTAACCCCCTTCGAGATTCAAAGGGACTCGATCCATCGTCGCCTTGACCAATCGCGTCAGTTTATCCGGAAGCCCGTATTCGTGCATAATCTGCCATAGCTGATCTCGATCGATTGGGTCGTATGCGATGATGATGTTTGGGCACGTTGTATTTGCGGCATTTCTGCAAAACCTGCCGAATCGCGACATGAATTCCACCTGGTAATGCCCCACGAACTCTCTTGCCAATGGTGACAGGCGGCGGCATTGAATTTGGGAGAGTACCTTGTAGGCGGCGCGCAGCAGTTTGATCGCGCGGTAGTTGCAGCAATCCAACTTGTCGCCCTTTTTGTAGATTGGGCATAAAGGGTGTCCACGATGAAATTGCCACACTATGAAATTGCTCTAACTTTTTAACCGTTGGGTAGAATTTAATGAAAATTTGGGTGGATTTAGTTCATAGTGCATTATTTACATCCTGCAAGTTTTAAAGTCCTGTGATCAAAACTCGCGGAAATGGAGTCGAAAGAACAGCTTGTGCGTGATAAAATCTTGCGCATTCATCACGAGAACAAGGATCTCTCGCATCGTTCCATCGCTAAACCGTTAGGAATCGCGAATTCCACGGTGTCGCGAGTGATTAAGCGGTTCGAGGAACGGTTGACCACCGATCGGAAGCCCAGAAGTGAAGGAAAAAGTATTCTGTACAACACCAAAAATCACAACCGCGTAGTTGGGGCCTTCAACCGAAATCCGAACGCCTCCGTTAGGGATGTGGCTAAGAAGCTGCACCTAAGCCGAAGTTTTGTCCAGAAGGCCAAAACTAAGGCTGGGCTTCGAACGTTCAAGGTACAAAAGGCCCCTAATCGCGACGAGAAGCAGAACAAGTCCGCCAAAACCCGTGCCAGGAAGTTGTACCTCAACATGCTGACGAAAGTTGAATGCTGCATCATGGACGACGAAACATATGTGAAGGCCGACTTCAAACAGATCCCCGGCAACCTGTTTTTCACGGCCAAGGATAAGCTCAGCGTTCCGGAGCATGTCCGCACTCAGAAGATGTCCAAATTTGCGAAGAAATTCCTGGTTTGGCAAGCCATCTGCACGTGCGGGAAGCGGAGTGCACCTTTCGTGACCCAGGACACGATGAACGGACAGGTGTACATAAAAGAGTGCCTCCAGAAGCGGCTGCTTCCTCTCCTGAAGGCCCACAACGTCCCAACAATCTTCTGGCCGGATTGGCCTCATGCCACTACTCCAAGGACGTGCTGAAGTGGTATGCGGACAATAAGGTCAATTTCGTGCCGAAAATGTTCAACCCTCCCAACACTCCGGAGCTCCGCCCCATCGAGAAGTACTAGGCGATTATGAAGCAGCACCTTCTTAAACGACCTAAGGTAGTGAAGACAGTCGAGGAACTGAAGAAAGTATGGGTTTACATGCAAAAAACGGTTGATTCACAGGTTGTGCAGAATCTTATAGCCGGGATTAAGGCCAAGGTGCGGGAATTTGCGTATGGACTGTAAATAAAATACGAGTAAAATGGTAAAATGAAGTTTAATAGTTATTTCTCAATCCCTGAAAATTTGGTGGCAATCGGATGAAAACTCGAATTTTGCGAATCAATTTTGTGTGTGGCAATTTCATCGTGGACACCCTTTACGACAGCTTCCATCCACTCCTCCGGTAATATCTCCTCCTCCCAAATCTTGGCAATTACCCAATGCAGCGCTCTAGCCAGTGCTTCACCACCGTATTCTAATAGCTCACTTGGTAGTTGATCTACACCAGTTGCTTTGTTGTTTTTCAGCCGACCGCTCTCCTCCTCAACTTCTTGAGCCTGTCGTCATCTGCGCGTGCTCCAAGGTCTGTTGCCGCGCCACCTTCGTTTTCTACTGCATCACCGTTGAGGTGCTCGTCATAGTAGTGCTTCCACCTCTCAACTAACACCACCTCACCCTAATGTCACTGACCTCACCATACACCTAAAACAAACGGTTTAAGCGAAACGTTTTTGCCTTCCTGAATACTGCTTGGGACCACTTGCAATTAACATTTTGTATATGACCGGATTAAAAAAAAAATACCATTGTCACCCTAATAGCCATAACCTTAAAATCACCCAATAACCCCGTTCTCCTTCCTTCCGCCAACAGCCTCTACCTCGGCGACAAGGAACTGAACGTGACCAGCTTCGCGCTGCTCCTGTCGGTGCTGGAGTACCAAACGGCAGTCATGCGACGGGACTTCGAAACGGCGGACCGGGTGCTGCCGACCATCCCGAAAGAGCACCGCACCCGGGTGGCGCACTTCCTCGAGAAGCAAGGTTTCAAACAGCAAGCCCTGCAGGTTTCCACCGATCCGGAACATCGGTTCGATTTGGCGCTGCAGATCGGCGATCTGGACACGGCCCTAGTGCTAGCCCGGGAATCGGACAGCCCCCAGAAGTGGTCCCAGCTGGCCAGCATCGCCACCAGCAAGAACAAATTCGACCTGGTCAAAGAGTGTCTCACCAATGCGAACGACTTCGGCGGCCTGCTGCTGCTGGCGACCAGTTCCGGTAAGTGCCTAACACAGTCTCGCTGTGAGAGGGGGGAATGTGATGCGTGCGCGTAATTACAATTTCAAATAAGCGTGAAGAATGGAATCGGGCGAGAAAGTGATTCGAGGCGGAGAAGGGGGAGACACTTTCAGAATGATTGTGTGTGTCCTCTTTTATTACTTTGCCGCCATAGGAAAGGGTGAATCAGAATGCCTACTTTCGGATTCTAGCACAAGAGAAGCATATTGCACGCTATAGTGGGCAAATGGAATTAAATACAAATAAAAGCGGGCGGCAATCACTTGGGATAGATTATTCTAATGCAATGTTTCTTTTGGTACTAGGCGACGAAGGCATGCTTCGGAATCTGGGAGAGAACGGTGTATCGCAGGGCAAATTCAACATCTCCTTCCTGTCGATGTTCCTGCTCGGGGATTTGGAAAAATGCTTGGAGATTCTCATCCAAACCAATCGGATACCGGAAGCGGCATTCTTCGCTAGGTTTGTTGTCCCCTTGTGATAGCGCTTTCAATTTGAAATCCTAAATGTATCGTCCCCAACAGAACCTACATGCCGAACAAGGTGTCCTACGTGCTGGACATTTGGCGAACGGAGCTGGCCAAGATCAACGAGAAGGCCGGCCAAAGTCTAGCCGATCCGCAGCAGTACGAAAATCTGTTCCCCGGTTTCTACGAGTCGGTCAAGACGCAGCAGTTCCTGCTGCCGGAACGGTCGACCCTGCTACCGGCCCAGTCTGCCATCGATGTGAGTTGTGCAATATTTCCCCTTTTTTTTTAAGCGTTCAAAACTTGAATTTATCGCATTTAGGTCCCCCTGAATCTCGACCGGGATCCCATAGCGGAGATGAGACAGGCGGAAAACGAAGGACGGTTCGATTACGATCCGAGTGCCGCGGCCACCGGTGCGGAAGGTGCCACAAGCAGTGCGACGGAAGGCGTAAGTACAACTCTATCAATAATCTAGCCATCTTCTAGTCTAACATTTTCCATTCTCATAGAACAAACCCACATTATCCAACGTGATGGAAGAAGCACTGATAGCGACAACGGCCGGAACGCCCGCACCCTCGGTCACGGTGGGAAATATTCCTCTAGCCTTCCAGCCTGCACCATCCGCCGCCAGCCAGATCAAGCGGAAGAGCTCGCTCGACGACTTCGAGTCCGAGATCGAGGCCCTCAATCTGGACGATAATATCGACACTTCTGTAAGTACTACTGTCAATATTGATTTTTTCCCCACCTAACTTTATAATCTATTGTTTTCGCAAATGCCACTTGAAACAGGATGTAAATATAGATGACGATCTGTTGAGTGATTGAGATGGGCTGCGGATGTTCCGAACAGGGATGCTCAGAGAAAGCGAGAGAACGAGAGAGCAGGAGAATTTCCCCTTACCCTCCCTTTTAGTAGCGATAGAAGAGTATATAGAAGTTTATTATAATTAAATCTAATGGAAGAAGTATGTTAAGGAAAATTTAAATAAAAAAAAATAATAAACGAGCAGGAGAAGAATGTTGCAGCAACGTAAAAAAAAAAATCATCAATGGAACATTTTTTTTTCAACATCCTTCTTGAGTATGATGGCGTTCATCATGCCAAACTGTGGGACAGACAACAAGTATTTTAAACAGGCTAGTAGTTCCGTACCAACGACGGTTCTTTTTCTCTGTTTTCGCACCTGCAAAGAATAAATTGTTCTCAGTTACGAAACAGCAAGTGCGAAGGTAAATAGCATTTAGGTAATCTTGAATTTTCCTTGTTTCTCATTTCCCGCCAAGCATGATTGAGGTTTGTTTCAAACAAATCAAACATAGCGAGTGATCGAAACTCGCAAAACTAGGAAGATGTTGCTACTTTTCTAATTGCTGTCTAGGGATTTTTTTTTTGCATTATATGTTATCACTTACCGATTACGATTGATTATTATGATTACATATTACAATTGCTACACCATTAATTGGCTATATCTACGCATTCGCATCTTTGTTGTGCACATCTCTGAACGACAAAGACAGAAGAAGGATACATTTACTATGTGGAGAAAACAGCGAAGCTACCAATATAAGGAAATCAATATATTACAAAGTTTAAGTTGCGTTGCTCTGATCTAAAGCAGTCCGAATTTCCTTTGCTGGGAAAATGAACCCCAATGAATCTCCAGCTCTGCAGCGAGATTCGATCTTGTGCAATCCATTCCTGGTGAAACATCGAATATCTCCCAAACAGTATACCTATGGCGGGTTAATGAGCACCTTAAGCACAGGGGTGGTCACTTTTTAGTGGGCTAGGTCACTATTTTCAAGTCAGTTACTAAAAAGTAACGTTTTTCAACAAGTCACTAAAGTCACTATTTCTTATTTTTTTTTTCACTTGCCTTTAAAAATCACATCAAATCATAGCACAAATTTGTGTTAAAAGATTCATTAAAAATCAGCGTGTAAAGTATGACAAGAAATGCCTTGTGGGTAGATCACCTTTTCGTGGTACGTTACGGGATGTAAGATCCACCACCCGTTCCTAGTCCTGACTATTTCAAACTAGCGGAACAGGATTTATCAGTAATCAAAGGAACACAGCTTAGTCCTTGTTACTTTGTATGCCTTGTTGATAGTGACAAGACTCGGCTTTGTCCACCGAGGATGATATTGAAACAAGGAAAAAATGAGTTAGTTAGTCTTCATCTATGTGATTCCTAATCTTCTAATCGTTGTTCTTTATTTTGAAGTGGTTAAGACTAGGGTTCTGATGCATAGTCATTGACACCGATCATTGCCTAATTTTGTTGCCAAGGAATTCATTTTTGAATGACAAAGGGTGTGCCTTTGGAGGGTGCTCTCACTCTTCGAAGGGTATAAATAGCGGAACCTTTCAATTAGAATCGATTCCTTGCGACGTAGGCAATAATGACCGAAATACCGAATACCGTGAACAGGTAGCCGCTGACTGACTTCCTGTCTTCCGCATCCGATGCCCAGTCGACGTCAGCATATCCGACCAACGCTTCCGCTGATTCGTCGCGTACAAACTTCAGGTGCTTCGTTTTCTTCCCTTTCAAATACCGTCCTATACGCTTGAGGCATTGCCAATGGTTAACTGTTGGTAACGGCCCAGGAATCCGACGGGGAAACACAAAGCAGGCCTGGTGCACAGCATTACGTACATAATTGTGCCCAGCAGCGCACGGTACGGTTCTTGGGTTGACTCACCATCACGGAAAACAACCAGGTTCTTCTCCATAGGCGTCTTGGTCGGGTTACAATCCGTCATCTTAAAGCGTATCAATATTTTTTCGATATTTTTTCAGAGAGTTTCATGGAATTCGTCGCATTCTAGTTTCATACCTAGGAAACGACTGATCTCACCGCAGTCCGTCATCTTGAACGTCGAACTCAGGGCTTTCTTCAGATTCACAATCGTTTCAATCTTCCTCCCAGCGATGAGCAAATCATCCACATGCAGAATGATATAAATTTCGTCTCCTGGTACCACGCGCACGTAGAGGCAGTAGTCGTGCAGCGATCGACGAAATCCAAAACTCAGCAACCGATCGTTGAACTTTTCGTTCCAGCACCTTGGGGATTGCTTGAGGCCGTACAGGGACTTGAGTAAGCGGCACACTGTATTAGGGGACGCTGCAACACCGTCGGGAACCGCCATGTACAATTCCTCTTTCAGGTCGCCGTGCAAAAACGCCGTCTTAACGTCCATTTGATGGAAGTGGAAACACTGTTGCACTCCGACCGCGAGAACCGTCCTGATGGTGGCCAGTTTTGCAACAGGAATCCTTTCACCACCAGTCTCGCCTTACGTTTGACCGCATTGCCGGCCGAATCGTCCTTCAGCCGAAACACCCATTTCGATTTCAGAGGCTTCACTCCCTTCGGACAGCTCGTAAGACGCCAGACCTTGTTCTCCTCCATAGAACATAACTCATCTCGTACCGCAGCCATCCACATGGCTCGGTCAGCACGCTGGGGCAGTTCATCAAACGATTCGGGTATATCTGCGAAAATCAATTCGCCAGAAATAGCTCTATAACCGATAAAGTAATCAAATAACTTACCGGGGAGCCTGCGCTCCCGTCCGCTATGCCTCGACGACAACTCACTAGGAATTTCGCGTCTTTCTGTGGGCGAAGGGAGCGCATTTTCTGCTTCTTCAACCGGTTCTTCAAGATCATCGTCGGGTTCTGCTTCAATTCGATTGATTTCAGGTTCATCATTGGCTTCACGAATTTTATCTGTAGGGGCCGGCTGGCAACGTTCCCCCTCTTGCTCGAACGGAATTTGGACGGTCAATGGGACATCGTCTTCTTGCTGCATCACAGCGTACGGGAAGGACGACTCATCAAACTTGACGTCTCGAGCAATCGTAAGCTTTTGAGTCACCGGGTCCCACACGCGGTAGCCGTTCGGAGCGTACCCAACCATGACCATCTCCTTGCTCTTCGCATCCAACTTACGCCTTTGCTGCTTCGGAATCCACACGAAACTCTTGCAGCCAAACACACGAAGTTTGTCCAGATCCGGTCTGATACCGAACCACATCTCAGCCGGGGTAACACCAGAGGGCAACGCACTTGTTGGGCTTCGGTTCATCAACTAAACGCAGGTGAGGGCTGCTTCGGCACATTGGATTGGACTGAGCACGGAACGGACTTTTTCAACCAAGGTTCGGTTGAACATCTCCGCTACACCATTCTGCTGGGGCGTGTACGCAACCGTTGTCTCTAGCTGTATCCCTTTTCTCTTGTAGAACTGCATCTAATTTGTGGAACAGTACTCTCGTCCCTGCTCCACCGTCATTCTTGAAATGGACTTTCCCAGCATAGCCGTGACCATTGCTTCGAATTCCTGAAATTTCTCGAATACCTCTGATTTGCGCTTCAACAAATATATCGATGAAACTGACTATGTAACGAGAACCATCCCATGCCGGTGGATCGATCGGTCCGCAAACATCAGAATGAATCCGCTCGAGCGGCCGGCTGGCCCTAGCTCGCGTTCCGTTGAAAGGTTCTCAGCATTGCTTGGCTTGCACGCAGGCGTCGCAGAAATCAATTTTGGTTGTTTTTCCATTCATACCTTTCAGCATTCCTTTCCGGGCCATGGTCTTCCATCCGCGTTGGCCGATATGCCCCAGGCGACGATGCCACAGGTTTCCAATCGATACTTCGCAGTGATTCGCTTCAACTTCCTCCAACGACAGGTCAAGCTCGTACAGGCTGCCGCGAAGGTGAATTGGCTTCACGCTGGCGACAATCCTTTTTCATGTGGCCGCGACGCCCACATTTGTGGCACTTACCGAGGAATTTCTGGGACTTCTTTTGGGATCTTGAGTCACCCGAGAACGCTGCCGACTTGTCTTCAACTGAATCGCCCTGCCGGTCGGATCGCTTCCTTTCTTCAGCCAATAGACGCTGCTTGACGAGGTCCAAATTCAGGTCTTCTTCCGCGACGTTCTCCAGGGCCGTGACTAGTGGATCGAAAGAGTCTGGAAGCGTCAAGAAAAGCTGCGACACCAGATCACTTTCCGCCAGAGTTGCTCCGGCCGTCTTCAATTTCCTTCATCCGCAAACGAGCCAACTGCTTCCGTACTAACGTTTGGCTCGCGACAGACTTCTTCGCATAAGCCGCCTCCAGACTGACCCACATCTCCTTCGTGGTCGCCTTCTCTCGAACGATCTCGAGGCATTCGTCCGACAGGCAACCCACCAGCAACGCCTTGGAGATCCGGTCCGTTTCTTCAAACTTCTTCTTTGCAGCTTGTTCCGTTGGAGCCACCTCGATTAGCACATCCGCGACGCCTTTGGCTTCCAGGAACAGGCGCACTCGATAATTCCAGTTTTGGAAGTCAGCTCCGCTTCCACGCAGCAACGGGATGTTGCACGAAACGTCCTTCGCGGTGGTGCCCATAACCTCTTGAAGGGACAAACGTGAGACTCCAAACGAAGTATACGGTTTAACAGGAATAACGGAGAAAAGTTTATTCAAACGTCTGTACTACACGAAGTGCGATTTTGGAATGAACAGGTATTAATTTTCACAAACAGGTAACGGGTTGTTGCCAGGGAGGGCTTCCCAACAACGTAACAGGGGAAAGCGACGGTTGATAGCCTACTACGCTAACATAGTATTTAATGTTCCTAGTCCTATCCAGGCATGGAAAATCATTTGCATTCATTTCGTGCATTCATTTACATTCATTTGCCTTTAACTTTTTTCTTCAACAGCACTCCGCAAAACAATGTATATAGCTTTTGTAGGTTTTGTTATTGGCTACAACTTTTGTTAACATGTCAAATCCGTATCTTTGATGCATGACGAACCAGAGCGAACAGAAGCCACTACTGTTTTTCAGTGAATGTAATTTACATTCACTGAAAAACAGTAACAAGTTCTGCCCGTTCTAGTTCATGATGCATAAAAGATACAAATTTGAGTTATGAACAAAAGTTGTAGCTAATAACAAAACCTACAAAAGCTTTCCACGTCATTTTGTGGAATGCTGTTGATGAAAAAAGTTAGAGACAAATGAATGTAAATGAATGTATGAAATGAATGTAAATGATTTTCCATGCCTGGTCCTATCCTTTCCTGTTTAGAGAATACCATTTGGTTTGTTTGAAATTGAAAAAGAAGACTACTTATCAGTGTTGGCTACTTATAACACGCCCCTCGCGCGTCGCTAGCACGCCTCTAGTGTTGGGAATCGAAAATCTGACAGTGATTTGTTTACACTTCTATAGATCTTTTTGACGTTTAATCGTCTTTCTCTATCTGGCACACAGAGATGAATGGATGGTTTGTTTTCCCACTAATCTGTTTCCCTCTTGCTCGCACTCCTTGAATTTAAATGGTGCATTAGTGTGCGCCGATTAAACGTCAAAAAGCTCTATAGAGAACAACGTTTGTCGAGTGCTCAAAACCTACAAGGAAACCCTGAGTGACAGGAATCAGCGGACCTACGAAAAAAAAAACTGGAACCAGGGATCGTCAGCTGCGCAGCAAGGTGTTGAGGTGCGTTAAAGCCAACCCCGGTCTTTCGATCCGAGATGTGGCCAGAAGGTACAACGTCAACTTTCA